TAGGCATACTCCTGGATGTGATCAGGGAGATTGGGGAGGAAAAGGAGAAACATTCCTCTCTGGTGTATTACTGTTTGCTGGTCAGCACCAACCCTCCTCCTCGGGATACAGCAGGTAGTTAGCAAGTCTGTTCCTTCCCTGCATCTTTCCTGGTGTGTACAGTCTGATGTTGTCTGGAAACAGCAGCTGCCCTCCCTGACAGCTCTGGTTAGAAGGACGCTACAGCCCTGCCAGCACACACCTGACGTGTGGTAGCCGTGCCTCTGCCCCGGGCTGAGCACCCCACACCTCTCTGCCTTCGGGGCTGCCACGCGCAGCGCTGGGGCCAGGCGGCTCTCCAGGCCGTGCCAGGCCTGCCCGTCAGCTGGCTGCAGCCCATGGCAAGTGGGCAGCGCATTCTCACCCCCCCAGTACCGCTGTGTCAGGAGCTGGGCAGAGTCCCTTGACAGCTGCAGAGTCAGGGCCTCAAATTCCTTCTCCGCAATGAGCCGAGGCACAGGCTGGTGCCCGTAGGGGTCCCCCAGCAGTCCCTGCAACAGGCAAAAAAAAGGTCCAGCGTTCGGGCCGTGCTTCTGCAGTGGCAGCTGGGACATGGGCTGGCTGCTTGCCCTAGCGCCCGGGATGGCCAGGGAGGGCTGCTCGGACAACTTGCTGGTAAATAGAGCGCTCTTGTGGCTCCTGTGTCAGATGGGGACCACCAGGCAGAGCCCCAGCCTGCCCCGTGGTCGGGGAGAGGTGGCCCTGCAGCAGCTGCTCCTCAGGCTTTTACAGTGTGTCGGGAGAGTGGTGGGGGTGAGGCAGCGGAAACAGAAGCGTTGGATTGGGGACTTTGGCCCATGGATCTGTGAGGTTGGCTTTGAGGTGGAGAAGAACTAAGGGAACAGGTCTGAGTCTGGGGACTTTAGATTAGGACTGAAGGCTGGGGACGAGTGAGATCCTGAGAAGGGTCAGCATCCCGTATCCGGTCAGGAAACAGCCAGAATGAGCTCCGAGCCCACTGTAATCCTTGAGCAGTGCCCTTCTGCGTGCGTAAAGCAAAGAGGGAGTAGTCAGCCCTTTGTGGCTGGCTCTGCTGAGATTTCGAGGTACACACTGAGAACCAGTCTGAGGAAGACGCTGCCTGAGTGCCTGCTAGTGCTGCCTGCATATGCGATACGGCGCTGTGAACAGAGGGGTGAGCTGCAGGAGCTCAGCGATGGTGAGCTCCTGGGGGCAGTAACGCTGTGCTGAGGCTCTCATAGTCTCTGCCCCTCCGTTGCTGGCCTCTGGTGGAAGTGTCTCGAGGGAAATCAGGCACAACTTGCACAAACACTTAATTGGTTATGTATTTACTTGTGGCTTCAACTATGCCCCCTGGGACTGCATATTTATTCTCTTTGTTCAGCAAAACTTTCTGCCTTTCTAAAACCAAAACAACCTGAGGAAGCAACCTGGCACTTCTGCAGGTGTCTCAGCCTCCTCTCCCCTTCTGCAAGGGTGTGGATTTCTGTTTGGGGCTGTCACCAAAGTGCTTGAAGGCAGCTGAGGTGGGCTGCTGCTGTGGGGAGCTTTCAGTGGTTGGAAAGAGTAATGGGAGGGATTTGAGTTGGGCACAAGCATGGAACAGGTATCAGCTTGCCGTGTGACACCCTGCTCTGTCCCTGCTGGTTGCTATGGCATTTTCATTTCTGGTTCTCTGCATGGGGAATTTGGTTTTATTCCTTAGTTACTGAGAAAGCTGCTTCAATATTGAGGTATTGGGCAGGAAGCAAGCTTGAAGCAAGAGCTTCTTGCTTTGTGTGTATCTCCATCTGCCTCTTCCATCTGCTAGTTAATACACACAACCGGTTACCTTCTGCTCTGACGGGACTTGGCGTTCAGGGCTGGGCTGTGTGTGTGCGCGCCCGTGTCGGGGCTCCTTTTGTCTTTTAGGGACCGCAGGCAGTTACTGACACCTCAGCCCCGTCAGCCAGCTCATTTGTGAAGCTGCCTGGGCAGGCTGATGACTTTGGAAACCCCCTTCCTTGGCCGGTAGAGCTGCTGAGGGGGTGTGGGGCCTGCTCTGTGTGTCTCACGTGAGCCGTAGGGCCTGAGAGTGCACCGCAGTGCTAGCACTTACGGTGATGGTGGGACCAGCTGACAGTTTCTGACAGGCTTCAGTTTCCTCCAGAGTGAGGTGTGTGTTTCCATGATCAGGGTCTGCAAGCCCAGAAATTCCCATCTCAAGGCAATTACCTGCACAAAAAGACTTTTTTTTAAGATTCTTCGACTGGTCAATACTACTGTAAAAACAGCAAAGGGGGAAAAAAAAAGTTGTTCTGTCACATTTAATTTTTAGATCAGTCTGAACACCAGTGGTATGCAAATTTAATTACAGCAACTCTCCAAAAGATGCCGAGATATTAAAAATCTCTCAGTAGGGATTTCTCCTTTGAAAGACTCAGGGATTTGGACCATGGATGACCAAGTAAGCAAGGTGATTTTTCAGGACAAGGAGCTTGTGCCCACGTTACTACCTCACCAATGCAAGTGCATTTTCAAGGTTCTGTACTGCCTTGTCACACTGTTTTTATTTGCTAATGTGAAAACTCCAGATCTGGAAATTTTGGATTGCGTAGCTATAGAGCACAATACAGCATTGATCCAGAAAAATGTATTTCTTACATCTTCCTGCGGCAAACCTTCCGTCCTATTTTAAGACCACTCAGCCACGCTGTTGGCCGGCTCAGCAGTGATAAATAGCCACAATAAAAGGCAATTCTGCCCACAGGGAATCTTTTCATACAGAGTCAGGTCTGTGAAATTTTTATGGCCGCTTCCCCTGCTGTGCTTTTTACAAGAGAGATTACCGCTTTCTAGAAAAATCTTTGTGACACCTTTTAAGTGACATAGTCACTAAATTCAAACAACAGACTAGGTAAATTTAAGATAAATGAGGAAGACAAAAGCAAATAGGAAGAAAAGTAAGCGCGTGTATGCACGCAAACACAAGCATAGTGCTCGCTCCCAGTGCCCGCACTCATGCACCCTCTCCTGTTCACAGCGCCTGTATTCACGGATACTTTTCACACCTGCAAAAGTAGAAGACAAGGGGAATATAAAGGACGCTTTTCTCCTTAGTCACGTTTATCATATGTGATTATAATTTCTTCAGAACTGGAATATTCTCTCCCCGAAATTATGTAAACATTCATAGCACTTCATCATCATGTGATAGAGTAGTACAAGAGGGAATGCTAAAATTAGGTCGGGGAATGGCTGTATCTGCAGCTTTCCTTGGGACCGTTCTGAGTGACAAGTGATCACTACTGAAGTCTGGGCCAGTGTCAGAGGAGGAGAGAGCTCCCTTGGGTTAGGAATTACCATGTCTGCGCTGCTGTCCAACAGGGAGCAAGCACGCCCTGGAATAATTCATTAGCTCTCACCAACGTTGCAGGAGTTACGGGAAATCCTTGTCTCACTTTACAGTCCAGCCCACATGAATTCCAAACCTTACAGTGAGAGAGTGGGTTTAACTTATAACCCTGTCTTTTGGTGAAAATCCAGTCATGTGTCGCATCCTTCATCCCAAAACTGTCCCTGAAAACACATGAGCTCTATCACAACAGGTGGTGTAGGTACGGTCACTAGCTGTGTCCTTATATGCCCACTAAGTTCAGATTGGCTGCAGTTCTCCAACATTCCTTCCAGAAACTACAGCGCTCTCTGTTTCTATAAATGCTGACCGAGCTGCTTAGGCTGGAAATGCCTCGCTGTCCAAACAGCATCTACCAGATGACACCCTACCAGAGGAGATGCTGCAGTATTTTCTCTCTTTGGAAGGCACTTTTTGTGGAATTGGGAGCCTATCTAATCCTGTGTTTTCTTATTTAAAAATGGAGACGGTGAATGATTTTCAGAAGAAGGGGAAACTGCGTTTTGTAATTCCTGAAAATCTGAGTCATCGCTACCCACCGCCAGTTACCGCTGTAGGAGCTCAGTCTGGCAACTGCGTCCCAGTAGGCAGAGGAAGTGAGAAATATTTGGATATTGTCCAAGAAGAGAAGTTCTTCACAAATATTTCTTGCTGTTACGGTGGTGGATGGGAATCAAATGTGTGTAGCCCAGGGTTTCGAGAAAGCCTGCAGGCTTCGGTGTCTTGTGCGCAGCCAGGCACTGCGCTGCCCTGAGCTACCCTTGCGCAGCAGTGCCGAGCCTGAATGTGGCTTCGCTGCGGTTCCTGGACTAATGCAGAATTCTGCCATCTCTGACGTGTCCTAAGTGCAAATTGGGTGTGACAGACTAAAGCTGTATATAAAACACAGCAGATTATTGGCATCTTTCAAATGAAGCTGTGAGCTTACAGCTTCTCTGCTGAGCACGGTGGGCTCACTGCATCGTAACGCTTTGCAGACCCTAGCAGAGAGAGTGCCTGATGCTTTCAGGAGCTTCAGGACTTTTCAGCATATTTACCTGGAAAAAAATGAGCTGATGAAGATTCGGATCAGGTTGGAGGCCTGGAAAGGAAAAGGAACCATCTTCCCGTGGAGAAGATCCCGGTGTGTGTCTGGACTGAAGCTCATGCAGCTATCCAGACTCCCCGAGCTCTCCTCAGCAGAGACTGCTCATTAGAGGGGAGGTGACTAATGGCAGTGAACACCAGTCTGTGGGGCCTCTCTCCAGAAAGCTGTCTTGCTCCATTTTTAAGGAAAGCCTGGGAAAATTTCAGCTACTGTGACAGGAACAGTAGGAAATGGTTGACTGTGTGCACCGAGATGCAGTGAAACTTCACCGCATCCTGGCGCGATTCATCTGGATTTGAAGAGGACAGATATCTCTATAGCAACCAGTGTTTGTCACTTGGGCAGAATCCCCAGCGCCTCTTTCTAAGGCACTAAATGTGCTCCCTATCAGGTGCTGTACACCTGAGGTCGCTTTGTTCACTACCCTTGACTATCTTAGAAATAATTGTCTCTGTATTTTAGCATCACATAAGCCTGCCAGTACTAGTATCATTTATGGTTCAGGGACTCTCAGCCATTTAAAGCAGGTTTCTTAATACCCAGGCAGTATGCCTGTGCGCTGTCACTATTGTCTTCTGTCAAGCTGTGCAGGTGTGAATTTACCTGTGCACAAAAAATACTACTTCATGGCTACGTTTGGACTGGGCTACCATCCCCAAAAGAGCAGCATGTGGGAAAAGATAGAGAGAAAAATGTAATCATTTACAAAAAAACAGCAAGTAGGTAGAAATCAGAAACGGAGAAGAAAAAAGACTTCCCGAGGGATACTACAGCTATCAGTAGAACTCCAGCGACAGAAGCTGTTTGGCTGTTGCTTCTAGTTTTGAGTTGTATAGTGCAGGACAACATCCCAGACCCGCCTGCTAATCCCCCCACCGAGGGCATCAGTGTGTGCTGCTGCAGTGCTCACCCCTGTGTCAGTTGTTGACCTCAAAGGCAGGAAACTGCAGCTGTCAACAGAGAACGAGTAGGAATTTCTTTGTCCCAATGCCCTTGGAACGCGCAGGGAGGGAAGGTAACCGGTGCAGAGGCCCTAGCAGAATCGGTGTCTCCACCTCATGTTCACCCAGCGTGCTTTTCAATGGCTTTCTTCCATGCTGCTCTGTTTTCCAATATTCACAGCACGTTGCTGGTTCAGTTTATCTCAGGATGTCTTTCTGTATTTGTTCAGTACAGCTTTTCACATAAGAAATGCTGCTTTTTCCACGTCCGGTGCAAACAGTGATGGTGCTGGACCCGCCAAGCAGATTCATTCACTCAGAACCACTTTCTGCTTCCCTGTTTTCTCACAGGAGACCATAATCTGTTATTTCTGTGGCTTTTTGCCTTTTCCAGGAAACTGAACTGAGCATGTCAGAGAAAACCAGTATCAGCCAGAGCAGATGCTGTGGTTTTTTTCTGTTTCTCTCAAGAAATGAGATTTAAGAGGCTGGTGTCTATCCTTATCTGTACCCCCTCTGGATCCCTTTAGCATACAGAGGAATAATTAAGGAAAAATTAGTAATCTGTATTTATGGGCTGCTTTTGCAGACAATACTTGATTAATCTCCACAGTCATCTAGCCAAATAAGAAGAGATTAACCAACATCCTAATCTATCATAAATCAAACAGGCAGGGAGATGAAGCATCCTACCTCGAGAGACAAACATTGCAGAGAGCCTACATTAGGGTTTAGCCTACATTATTCCAAATTTAATTTTAGCCAACATGAGGACTCTAAAGCCACGGATTTTTGGACTTCTTCAAGGCACTGCAATCTGTGACGTGCTGTATGCATCTCACACTGCGTATACCTGTCATCATCGCTGATTACACCAATTCTTGTCACTAACAAATCAAAGAAAATTAGCTCACTCACTGATTCAAGCAGTTGGTTGCAGTGGGACCAGAAGTCCCTGACTAGCAGAGCTTTTTTTGTGAAGTCAAGACCTGCCAGCTCGACTGAGAAGCATCAGGGGTT